ATAATTTACCACATTTAAAACAAACGCAACACTACAAAAACTAATTACAAGCATACAATGTCAAAGTCTTTCAACCCATTTCAACCGTGAGCAACACAGCTAATATGCATTAAATGGAAAATATGGTAGACAATCATCCCAGAAGAAGACATCATCTTCTCAACAAACTGGGGAAATTTGCATTGTGAATGAGAATAAATGACTGCATAAAATGATTACACTTATTTTTCCTTTTTATGTCCGAGAATGATTGCTGTGTAAGATAACTTATGTTGTGTTTGAAAATGATTGTAATATTACTGGCACATTTTTGTGAGCTCTCTAGCTTGAAAAAATATTCATCAGCAGTGGCAGATAAATAAACACACTGATTGACAACATTTAAAAACGCAGACTTTGATTTTTAGAAAAAATTACTTAATTTCAAATTTTTATCAACGTTTGATGGTACAAAAACTGTACTGTACGACCAGATATAGGCCACATTAAATACAGATTTTAAAAATTAAGCATTAAAATTGGCCAGCGTGTTTATTTTGCGGTTAAGGTCTATTCACAAATAAACCATGTAAGAATAATAAATAAAAGTAGATGGTGAAAAAAATTTTCTGACTACCTAGATGACTAGGTCCTCCCCAACAAATTATTGAAAAAATTGTAACTAAGTTTTATTGTACAGATTCTTTCTAAGAATTAAAAAAAAAATTGTATTGTTCAGATTCTTTCTATGAATAATTTATAAAAGAATGTATTGTACAGATTCTTTCTAATATTTTATTTTTAAAAATTTTTTCATACAGATTCTTTCTAAGAATTAAAAAAAAAACAGAAAAGTTTCAAGAAGTATTTCAAACACAAAATCCAGTCATCTTTTATCATATAACCAACCTCTGTAACAGACATATGTCTTTATAAATATAATGCACTCAGTGACTTTACATATAACAATTTTACACAATACCTACAGCATTAATTGAATAACAAAAAGATTCAACAAGAGGATATGTATTAATTTTCAGAAGGAATGTGGATCATATAACATTTTTAAAGTAATAAAATGGTGGCATTACAAAATTATATTGATAATTTTCTGTTGGGACTATTAAATCTACTCAGCTCAAACGTCTCTTATGAAAACATTTTTTAAAAATCAAGGTACAAAAAAACTTGATGTCTGTCTAAAAAGGGGACAAAACTAGGCAAAAAAAAGTGAATAAAATAAAAATAAGGCTGAAACAAAATAACCAGAATTTAACCACAAGGGGGCCAGTTCAAGAATGAAGACACTAAATTTTAATATATTGATGTTATTAAATATGAGCAAATCAGAAGTCAGCATTGATGACATCAAAAAACATTTCTACATGCAAGACTCACAGAGAAAAAAAAGGCATTTGAATTATTCTTACTAAAGTAATGTATTGTCAGTTTTGTTTCATCTTACAACCAGTTTCACTAAAAACAATTATTGCTTTAAACTAGAGACAGACCGAAAGTGATTTTCTGATTTCGGCCAAAGCCGAAACTAGGCCGAAAGTTAAAAATGACTTTTGGCCGAAACCAAAAGCTTTAAGTGACTTTCGGCCAAAACTGAAGCCAAATTATTTATATATTTTGAATTTCGTTCATCCATACATTCTTCATATATCGATGGGGTAAAGTATCAATATTTACATTCTTTTTATAAAAATAAGATCATCTTGAATATTACGAAATAAAAACATCTAAAGAATACTTTGGCTTTTACCATTTTAATTTAAAAGTAGTTTACACTTCTTTAAAATGTTTTTTTAAGTAGTATGTATGGTAAGAGAAAATTTGTACCAGACGGGGGAGGGAGCGTGGCTAAATTCATAAAAAATAGACCCTTAAGTGCCCTTTGCTTTTATACTATATTTACAACCTAGAACATATACCTGATAATACCTACAATAACTATTTTAGCTCTAACAGAGTCAATAGTCAACTAAGTATCATTTATTAAGGCTAAAAAAAAAAAAAACAACACAATGTTTCGTGGTTATCGTCATACTAATGCTTTGTTTTCATAAATAGCTGGCAAGATATCGCTGTATTAATATTTAGCATAGTAACAACACACTTGTCTTTACATGCGGGTGATCTAATTATTTTGTTCGGCAATCAGCTTTCTATTGGTGGGGGAATTTTTTTAAAACTGGGTCTCTTAAAATTGTTGTACTGACTGGTCTTAATCATATAACAAAAGCAAGACCTTGAGCAATAATGAATATCGGATTGCCCGCCGACAGACAATCTGACTTCTGGTAGATGACCGAAAACCTCAGTCACTTTTTCCCAGTTGGCCGAAAGTCTCAATCACTTTCGAAATAGGTCGAAAGTGATCAAATGGCAACTTTCGGCGCCGAAACTGAAGCTCGGTTGGTCTCTACTTTACACAAACAGTAAGAATCATTTATGATACTATTTCAATTACCCCAGCTATGGATAAATGTGTGGAATAGACTTATATTCAAAGTAGGTTAGCTGTTTTTGAGAGGAGGTAAAATACAAGTCTGAAAACCTCAACAGATTTTGGAATGGAGCAGCCACTTTGCTGATGGGTGTTATAAATTAGCTGCAGCCTTGCCAGCTCAGTTATAGTTCCCACAGCATTTTCAGAACAAGAAGTGAAAAAATAATTTATGCAACTTTTGTTTTAAATATTTAATCTGCAAGTAATTTTGTTCCAAGTTCAAACCTTCCTTTGAGGGATGTGCTTCATCACTAGTATCTGCTATTTTTGTTCATCAAAGGAGACTACAAATCAGGCAGTTATTGATTTTTTAATCAGTTCTTTTTTAATTTTTTTATTTGGCACCTATCTATATTTTTTGTGTGTGTCTTGTTCTAGCGTTAACTTCAGCTGCTTAAGGAGTATTAAAGTTTCAAACAAGCAGTAATAAAGTTTGAAACAAGGAGTAATAAAGTTTCAAACAAGGAGTAATAAAGTTTCAAACAAGGAGTATTAAAGTTTCGAACAATGAGAAATAAAGTCTCAAACAAGGAGTACAAGTATAAAACTTGAGTTTAAAAACTAAAACCAAATATAAATTAATACCAGTAATTAAATTAAATTTTTTTCATCTGCTGATAAAAAAAATTTTGGTTAGATTTAATTGTCAATAGAGAATGGATATTAACTTTCAATTTTGTGTTTTATTGTGCACAACGTGTGGCAGTTGGGTTGAGGAAAATTCTTGATGCCATAAAGCTTGTGACCGATTCGTGACATGCTTTTATATATCTATGAGCAGTGTCTAGACTGTCTTAGAATATTTGCGACTCGTTTGGAAGCTGTTGTGTGAGTTGAGAATGGCAAGGTTGAATTATATTCCTCCAGCGAGCTGCGCTATGTGTTTAAATTATTGTACAACCAGATGATAGATAACTTGGATTAAAGTTTAAGTTGTTCTTAGAATAGGACTTGTGTTCAATTTTAAAATGATTATGATATATGAACAGGGAAATGAATTTGACATGAGAAATAATTTGACAGACTCTTCAGAGAATATAAGTTGATTATTGTAGTTTCCTATGGGGAGTCATGGAAATTGTCAAATCATGGTTACAAATCATTTCCTACAAAAATTTCAGATCTAATTAAAAAAATAAACTGGGATGATAACATATAGAAAGGAAGATTTTGGAAACTATCTAAATATCTATTTTAACTTCATAGAAATGTATGAGAAATAAAAAAAAATACAAGTTTCCATTCCTTTATTACTGTCTTGGATTAAGTTTGAATAATCCAAAATAGGATGCAGGTGATGTGAAGT